CTAAACCCTAAACCCCTAAACCCTAGACCCCTAAACCCTAAACCCTAAGCCGTTACTTGCAGCCCTGGCTTCAAGAAGCCTAAACATTCTTTTTCTGCTATCGAGAAGCTGCGCCACTGCTTCCCAGAGCATGCCGACTGCTTCTTAGAATTCATTTGCAGTTTGCCGACTGCTTTTGCAACTGCTTTTGGGATGCTTGCCGAGCATTTGATCCATAAAAAAAGAAGTTCTGCCGACTTCTTCTGAGCATTTATTTTTCAGTTTGCCAACTGCTATCAAGTTGCTGGCCCGAGCATTTCTTAAATGAAAGAAGCTGCGCCAACTGCTTCCCAGAGCATGCGGACTGCTTCTGAGCATTCATTTTCTGCTATCGGGAAGCTGCGCCTACTGCTTCCCAGAGCATGCCGACTGCTTCTTAGAATTCATTTGCAGTTTGCCGACTGCTTTTGCAACTGCTTTTGGGATGCTTGCCGAGCATTTGATCCATAAAAAAAAGAAGTTCTGCCGACTGCTTCTGAGCTTTCATTTTTCAGTTTCCCAACTGCTATCGGGTTGCTGGCGGAGAATTTCTTCAACGAAAGAAGCTGCGCCAACTGCTTTCCAGAGGACGCCAACAACTTGCAGGTCCCATACTATCTTAGGATCGGCCCATGTGTTTTTCTAGGCATCTAGGGGTTTAGGGTTTAAGGGGTTCTATTGGGATTATATAGGGGTTCTGTTGGGATTATATTGGGGTTATATTGGGTTTCTATTGAGGTGATATTGGGATTATATTGGGGTTAGCATAACAACCATGAGTGTATGGATAGGGGCTACAGCTACAGGGTGGTGCCCCCTAAGCCAAAACCTCTAAACCCTAAACCTGTAAACCATATACCCAAAACCCCTAAAGCCCCGATGTACATCCTTCAAACCTTTCCCATTTTATTCTCCAACTTTGCTAAAACCCAGAGCCCAAAACTTTTAAACTCGGGAGGATCTGGAAAAGAAGGAGAGCGCGGCCATGCTCCATGCGCAGCATGCAATGCGAAAGTTTGCCTCCAAGGCCAGATTTGGGGTTTGGGGTTCAGGGGTTAGGAGTTTAGGGTTAGGATTTAGGGTATAGGGGCTTAGGGGATTACGTTTAGGGTTTAGGATTTGTTGTCTAGTGATTTAGGGTTTTAAGGCTCTGGATTCACCGTTTAGGGTTTAGGATTTAGGGTTTGGGGGTTCAGGTTTCTATGTAGGGATTAGAATTTAGGCTCGACCTGAACCCTAGGATTTGGGCCATAATTTTACCTACTTATAGGTGCAGGCAGCAATCTCTTTAAACCGGTTGCAATTATTCTTGTTGCGATTGTTCATTTGTGTTGGTTTCAGTTTTATTTGCCCATAGTTGTGTTAATAGTAATTAGTTGATTGGTACTACTTTTCTCTAATATACCGCAATACTATAATTCCCAAGGTATTAGATACTTAGGGTCATGCAGGATTTTTAGTATCCACTGTAGTATGCAGGGTTTTGGCTTTGGGCTTCAGGGTTTAGACTTTAGCTTTTAGGCTCTAAACCCCAAACCTTAAAACACTAAACCCTAAACCGCGTACCCCAGGCTTTTAGCATGGCAAGTTTAGCATGTGGAGTTTGGTTGCACTTGACCGCTTCCCTGAGGGTTATATTCGGATAATGGAGAAGGAAATGGAGGCTACAATTTAGGGTTTTGCACCTCAAGAACATGAAAGATCGATTCCGGGGTGAGGGTGCTCCTCAGCAGGGGCCTGGGAGGTTTGAACTCACGATGTACTATCGTTCCCAAGAGCCTGCGAAGGCTACCCTAAAACCTGAACCCTAACCCTGAAACCAAAGCCCTAAAGCCTACCATTCGGGTTTTCAGGTGTAGGCCCGCGCCACGGGCGTACCCGATACCGGGGTTCAGGGTTCAGAGTTTAAGGCATTATTTGAATACCCCATAACTTGCTAGTTCCATTCCAGCCAAGTTCCGCCAAATCTTCAAGCTAGATTCTCAGAGCCTTGGCAACGGCTGTCCAGCAATTACTGTAGAAGTTTAGAAGCAATAAAGCAATATTATGCTCCTAGGTTGATTGGACAATTCTTGTGTATGGTACTTCAAAAAGACCTAAAAATGCGATCGGTACTTCGTTAGGCCACTACATTAAGTTCACAACATTCCTTGACCCAGAGGATTGTGTCTAACCATGCCATGAAAGAATCCTTAATTAATGGACCTGGCTCTGGGCTTATGCGTTTAAGGTTTAGGGTTTAGGGTTTAAGGTTTAGGGTGTAGGGTTTAACGTTCCGCCGTGAACCCTGCGGGTGAGTCCTGATAAGGACCTTACATTGTGCATGTTGATCTTTGATCAACCCCGGCTGAGCTTCGATATCCCCCCGTGCCAACCCAACCCTTGACCCTAAACCGTTTCCATTTCACTTTGCATGTTCTTTTCCATCTGATCTCCATTATTGGGGTACCTTTCCCTCAAACCCCATTTATCCAAGCAGCCTGGCCTTGCACGAATACATACAGACGTGCCCCTCTCTCTCTCTCTCTCTCTCTCTCTCTATATATATATACACATATACCCATGTATATAATTATGCCTAAGCCCCCTGCGCCTTCATTAGATAATTTCTCCTCAGCCCGCCCTCCTTCTTTCGCTCTCTCCATATAAATAAATAAATAAATCTATATATATGTATAAACATGTATGTATGTATGTAAACAAGTATATATATATATTAAAATCAACAAGTACATATATATATATATGTATATACACCTAGAATAAATCAGCCCTGCCTATGCCTGCTTGGAAGGTTTCCCGAGGCGTCCATCACGTGCACAAGCACACTGCAGCCCTGCAGCAGTTGATATTGTACCCTTTAGAGGGTTTAGGGATGCGGGGTTGGGGTTTAGGGGCTAGGGATTAGGGGTTAGGTTTTAGGGATTTGGGTTTGGGGATTAGGGTTTAGAGTTTAGGGGCTTAGAGTTTCGGGCTAGGGTTTGGTCTTGGGTCCACGGGTTTTTCTCAGTTTGTTCCAGCTTCAAGATTTCCACTTCAATTCTGTTTCGCAGCATGGGGCCTTTGTTGCATGCACTCTTGGTTTGTCAGCCAGGTCGTGGAACCCTCGTTTGTCATTTTCTGATGCAATCCCACGGAATCCAGAAGGGGGTGCCAATCACCTCTCTACAGACCCACATATCCCCCGGGGGTTCCGGAGGGCCCACTAAAACCCAAAACACTAAAATAGGGCGCCCGAAACCGTAAAGCTTACCCTAAGCCATAATAACTTGGCATGTCCTAAACTTTTTTGCTCCAACAGCTAAGTTTCTCTGGGAGGGTGCCAAGCAAATATCCCCAGCTAGATAGAGTTTAGGGTAAAGGTTTATTAGGGTTTAGAACTTAGGGTTCAGGGTAGAGGGCTTAGCGCTTAGAGCATAGGGCTTAGGGTATAGGATTTCGGCGTTGGAGTACAGGGTTTAGGGTATAAGGTTCAGGATTTAGGGTTCGGGGTTTAGGGACAGAAGGGTCGCACTGATAGTGAATTGGTGAATTGGAAGCGGAGTGACGGTTTGGGATTCAATTCTTTACACAAACAAGGTCGAATCAACATCTCTGCTAGTACCCGAACGCGGCTACCCGAGTTATTCTTGGGAACAGTCGTTTGGCACAAATTGATCACATGCAAGCTTGCAAAACGGCGCGTTTCTTACATCCAGTCTGCTTGATGTGCATCCTGTATATTTTTATGTATATCAAGTCGACGGGAGGTGAGCATCTCAAGTTCACCACAAGCCGCCAGGTCTCTTATTCGAAGTCTCCCTAAAAGTTGCTAGAGCCACAGACTTACTACCATTTAAGCTATAGTCTAAACTCCTATATATATATATATATATATATAGGGGAGGATATTAGGGGTTCTCAGAGGGGATACTAGGAGTTTAGACTATAGCCCATTTGGGGACCGTGGGTTTACCGACTGAGGGCTTGAGGACTAGAATCCTATGCAAGCGCACCGAAGCCAAGGTCACCCTGGGCGCTTTAAGGGTCTATCTCATGGTTTCGGTTTAAGGGTCTAGGATTCTTGTGGAAGAACTGACAGCAAGCCTCCCGTCATTCTGCAACAGAAGGACTCTAGATGCTTAGACAGTTGAGATTAACGACCCCTTGGCTCATCACAGGCCAAAGGATTGGGATCCCCGCCAATCACGGGTCTATGCTACCGTTACGTAGGTCTCTTCTGGGCTTTGAAAGGGATGTTTCCTGTATATCCGAACGGAACCCCTTCCAGTTCACGTTTTGCCTTGGGTTTTACACTTACTATACCACACCCCTAGGGTTACCCCTAACTAACCTGGAACAAGCCGAACGAAGGTAGGACCTTAGCGGGTAAATTTTGGATATGGGAAATCTTGCATCACCTAATAAGGTATATTTACACAAGAGCAGCAGTATTTTGAGGGTCGTAAGTGGTGCAAGATTTCCCCCATCCACCGTAGCAGAGATGGTGGTAAGGAAGCCAACGTACTAATGGGGCTCCCTAAACCCTAAAACCCTAACCCCCTAAACCCTGAACCCTAAGCCCTAAACCCTTAAACTCTAAGAACCCTAAACCCTAGACCCCTAAACCCTACAACCCCTAAAACTCTAAACCCTAAAACCTCTAAACCCTAAAACCTTTAAACCCTAAACCCCAGGCCTTAGGAGTTCTTCATTCCCAGCCCTGAACTCGTTCCCTAACACTACTACAGGGCCTAAATACTTGGGGGATTGTCAAAATTATGATCCCTTTTTGGGTCCCTAAATTAGGCCCCGTATTAGGCCCCATATTATAATAGGGACCCAAAAAGGGACCATAATTTTGACGATCCCCCACTTACCAATCTGATTCTGAGTTTTATTTGAAGTACCCTCTACCAGAATTCTACAAGGAATCCAGAGCCATCGGTCACTATTTGGGCCCTGCTAAGCCCTAAAACCTAACATCCGAAAACCGATCGAAGGACACCTTTATGAAGCGGCTTGCGCAACATCAGGCTTTTGAGGCCTTCTTTGCTTTGGTAGTTGCGGCTCTGCTTGCCTATAGCATGAGTTGGGGTTTAGCGTTTCGGGCTTAGGGTTTAGTTTTGGGGGTTTTGGGGGATTTGGACAGGAGGGTAATTAACTTAGAAGCCTGAACATAGCACCCCGAAATACCATACCATAGATCACTGCATGGGGACTGCCAGAAAGGGACCTTCAATTTTTGGCCCCCCCCCCCCCCCCCCATATAGCTATCGTATACACTAACTTAAACCCTATGAGTTCCAAGTCGCAGCCAGTTCTGTGGATTTTGGTAATTATGCGCACTATTGTTGTACATAGACTCTTTTAGACTTTTAGACTTTTGGTACAAAAAGGCTCCTGCATCCAGACCCAGTGGCTTACGTAAAGGGTTTAGGGTTTATAGTCCCCCTTAAGTAGATAGAATATGGCTTTGGGTATATTATCGTAAGATCTCCACATACCCCATATTCTATCTACTGAAGGGGGACTACAGGTTTTAGGGTAGTGTTTTGGGCACTTGGTCCCTTTGGGCCTTCATGGGAGCTCCAGCACTCAGGTATGAGACTGAAATCCACGGGATGGGCCGAGCCCCATCTACCTTCTATCATGATGTAAGTACCTGCTATGAAGGAGCAACCCTAAACCCTAAACCCAGGACCCTCATGAGGGTACAACGGGAAGGGCTTGTCATAGGGTTTAGGGTTTATGGTGGCTTCCGGCGTCGGGCTTGTTGTGAGGATCAGGTTCAAGTAAAACACCGATCAGCGTATTTCAGAAACTCAATGGCCTTTGGTATAGCCAGCAAACCGTTTTTTTGAAAGACACTCCTGACACAAAAGCCCTCAATCTTGAGAAGATTTTCTTTTTGGTGGTCGAGAAGTGGTCACGGTTTCGGGTTTGGTAAGGCCTAAACCCAAAACCCTACAACCTAAGCCCGATAGGCCCTAAAACCTAAACCCGAAACATTAACACCCTATAGGGTCGGGTCTGGAAGCAGAAAGCATGCTTCCAGACCGATTCATCGTTCACATTTGGGGGTGGGTAGCTCAAAAACGGGGGAACCCAAGGGACATTGCTGAGTGCCACACAAGGAATAAGGATTATCTAGGATTTGCTGAAAATTCTTTAGCGTGGTACTGCAATTGTGCAGGAGATTTGTGCCCATGACGGCCAGTAAGTAGCTTAGGGCTTAGGGTTTCAGTCCTAGCATTCAGGGTTGTTTGCCTTTTAGCATCTTTTCTTAAGCATTGTAATTTCACGACTTGTTCTGAACAGCCTCTTCTAGATGGTTCTGGCGCTTAAGTCCTATACCCTCCTAAACGCCCCTGACCTTAAACGCTAAAACCCCTAAACCCACCCCTCAACCTCAGACCCATCCCAGGTGAGCAATGCTGTTTTCATCGGAATCGACGTGAACTATTCCGTCTCCCACCCCGAACCTCGACCGCGCAGCTTTCAGGCCACCGCTGTGACACTTGCTGGCTTTAGGGTTTAGGGTTTAGGGTTTAGGATTTAGGATTTAGGGTTTAGGGTTTAGGATTTAGGGATTAGGGTAAGTAGTCATGATAGGCCCTAGGGCTCCCAGTTACCTAAATAGTAGGTTACTGGGCTATGTAACTATGGGGTATATAGAAGCCAGTTCTCATTATTTAGGTAACTGGAGCCCTCGGGAGGGAAAGTCAAATGATTGGCATTTGTACGTAATCGGGATACTATAGCCCCGCCATAAAGAGAGCAAGAGACTACTGGCATGCTTTGTTCAGCCGCCTCAAAAATGCTACTCAAACGGAAAAGCAAATGCAAAATGCAACAGAAGCTTGAGGCCTGCGGGGATAACTAGAGTTCAGGGTTAACTTGCTGGTTGTTAGCAGGGACTTAAGGAATGCAAAAACAATGGAGGCTTCACACTTCAATGTAACTTGGGGCTTCTTGTTTAGGGTACAGGGAACGGAGAAGCGAATAGAACCCAGTATATTGTTTGGGGTTTGGGGCTTGAGGGTTCAGGAGGGAATCAAGGAATGGAAAACAGAACGGAACCAACTCACATTGCTAAGAAGTAGGGTCAAGGGGGTGGGGACGGGAAAGAAAATATCAACTACCATTTTCAGGCTTAAGGACACGGGTTTAGCAAAGGCGAACGAGAAGGGAAGCTGTATGCAGTTTGGCATTTGCGGTTCAGCAGGGACTGAAGGAACGGAAAAGAAGATGGATGGACGAGAAATTGGAAGCCACCTATCATTAGAGAATAAAAGGTTCCAGCAAGAACTAACAACCAGTAAGCCCTAAACCTAAACCCTAACCGTAAATGTCAGAAGGCATAATGCTTGTAGGTTCCAAGGCATGTCATCGATCCATACCTACAGGATTATATAATCTCGTCCCTCCAAAAGTAGGTAGGACACTGGCCTCAATCCCATGTAAGGCATACAAGAGATCCGTACTCTACACTCCTGTGGCTTAATGCCCTCCCCTAACATTACCCCCCCCATCCCCGCTAATATTAAATACTCCCATACATCTATATATATATATGGATTTAGTATTAGGGGGACGTGATTAATAATGAAATCTCCGACTCGCCGCCCCTTAAGTCTGGTGGTGGTGATGAAGTACACTTACCAAATTTAGGTTTAGGGTTTAGGGTTTGCTTAGATGGTCCGTGGGACCTAGTAAGTATCTGAATACCCCCTAAAAGCCATAGACTAACCCTCATTATCCCTAATATGAACCTACTCACTAAGTCTCCATGAACCTCCCCTTCTCAACCCTAAACCCTAAACAATATGTGGTAGTAGTTTCCATCTTGTTTTCCATTATTGCTAAGTCCCCATGGCTCTCCAATCCCACACCCTAAACCCATGACCTTCCAAGTAGGGTGTCTGGAGGTAGTCCAGTATACTTACACTGCACTCTTCTGCTTCGAGCTCCTGGTGCGCCTCATTGCGCTCAAGTGGCATCCTGGCTGTATAGGGCTTAAGGTTTCAGGGTTTAGAGCTTCGGGCTTAGGATTCAGAGACAGGAGTAGGGGTAGAGCTTAAGGGCCAAGGGTTTAGGGTTGAGAGCTTGGGGGTTAGGATTCAGAGATAAGGATTGATTGTTTGAAGCTGAAGGTTTGGGGCGTAAACCCTAAACCCTAAACCGTGTGGAATCCGAAGACGTCCTGGGAAGGATGTGAAGGGAGGGACCGTACGCCGGGAGCCGAACACAGATAGCTGCACGCGAGGTCTTAGGGTTTAGGGCTTACAGCTTAAGGTTTTTAACATCAAGGCCTAAGTGCTCGGAATAGGGTGCTCGTGTATATTAGACTGTGGTGTTAGGCCTTCCAGAAGGCTGCAGCGTATATAGTTCCCCTGAAGTAGATTGAGAAGATGGAATTCTCCAAGTTATAAGAAGATCCCCATATACCCCATATTCTTTTTCCTCATAAGTTGGACTAGAGATTATTACGCGAGAATTGTGCTGGAGGCAGATTTACCGCTTGCGCTTGAAAGAGGCATTCTTGAAACAAAGCCCACCGTAAACCTTAATCCTTATCACCCTAAGCCCTAAACCTTTAAGCGTAGACCCTAAGAAGTGAACCCTAAATCTTTGATCCTAAGCCCTAAACCTTAAACCTTAAACCCTAAACCCTAAACCTAGCCAAGGAAGTTTTTCTGGTCGGATGATTGGATGTGGAGCCTTTGCGGAAGCCCAGGGTTTGAGCAACCTTGGTGTTTTCAGGCCATACTGGGTTTGGGGTTCAGGGTTTGGGGTTTGGGGTTCAGAGATTAGGGTTTCAATGTCTGGGGTTCTGGGATATGTGGGGTTATTTAGGGGTAGTGGAAAAGAAAAAGCGGAAACTACCAAAGTAATTGAGGTTTAGGTTTGTTCTGGCAAGACCTGCGGAAATCTATTCTGCCAAGTCCTCCTTGCCTAGGATATGTAGGCCCTTAAGCCTAAAACACCAAATCGACTACCCAAACCCTAAACCCCAAACCCTGAAGCCTTCTGTCTCAAGGAAGCGCTTGCGAGAGTAATATTTGAAGAAAGGGTGGCACATATTATCTATATTTATCTATTCTAGACTGGTTGCAGCATCTTGTACAAATTCTGGGGATATATCAGTGTTGTAGGAAGATGATAGGGTCACCCCCCATTGTTTTCAAAAGTGGAACCCTGAGCCCTACACACCAATGAAAGCCAAGATCTCCAACCCCAAGAAGAAGCTTCAACCCTCCAAAAAACACACAGCGTCCAAATTGGCGTTTCTCAAGGTAATCCGCGTGATATGAAAACCATTGTTCTTGTATTGGAATTCGAATACTAACGTATGCGTCGGTTTATACGATCAGCCGCCCCACCAAGGAGTTGCTTAGATGTCTTCATTGTCTTGACATCTCTCTGGGAAGTGGCTGTCGATGTGATGGCCATGGTGTACGAGGGGCAGTCTGGCCGAAACTCCCTAAACCCTAAACCCCAAACCCTGGTGTAAGAGGGGCAGTCCGACCGAAACTTACTTGCTAAGACCCCTTGATGAAGAAATGGAAATGGTAGTTTCCCAAAATAAGGGGACCCCACTATAGACCCCAAGATATTCTAATCCTCCTTATAGGGACCCCAAAAAGGTACACCTAATTTTGGGAACCCCCCAAACTCAGTCAGAACAGGAATCCCAGCCTGATTGGCCCCATTTTTCGGATATGAGCTAAATAGTCTAAACTCCTTAAAGGGAGGTTATATAGGGGGTTTCTATAGGGAAGTATTATGGGGTCTCTTAAGGGGGTTACTAGGAGAGTAGACTATTGCAGGTTCCTTATTTAGGGTTTTTTGGAAGTTCTGGTTTGGTTGCTTCTCAAAACTGGGCCAACTTGCCCTGCCCGGAAGGTCCCCACAAATCACGCAGTGTTATGGACCCTTGTATGAGGTAAGAAGAGGATTTTGTTAACTCCAACCCCTATCATAAGGTTCAAGCGTCATGGTGGTAGATTATGGGGCGCTTACTTCAGGGAGCTCGAAAGGTACCTTAAACCCTAAACCCTTACTTTGGGGGTTGGGTGAGCCCAAATCGTTTTTTTCTTATCATCTCGGCCCGACATGTTGCAGATCATTTAAGGACCACATTCGGGGAGCCTAAAACCCTACGGGATTTTGCAGTTTAGGGTTTGGAGTTTTAGGGTTTTAGGGCTTAGGGTTTTAGGGTTTAGGGTGCAAACTGGAAAGAATGAGAGGGGCAGTATGAGGATGCGAGAAAGACTCATACGGCTCATTAACAAACATTTCCATGACTCTATATTAAATTATATAGTCCCCCTTAAGTAGATAGAATATGGCTTTGGGTACATTATAATAAGATCACCATATACCCCATATTCTATCTACTCAAGAGGAACTATAAGTTTCTAAGCGTACTAACCTACCATAATGTCTAGGGTTTGAAATTTTAGGTGATGCAGGATTTCGTCCGTCCACAGTACTGATGAGAACCCGGACCTCCTTTTTGATGGTCATGCGCCAACGTGATGGGCCTGTGCCGAGTCCTCATACTAAGATCCTCACCATAATAGAGGCGCACATGTTGCCCCTATAATCTCAATATAACTCCTACGGTCTCTGAGGGACGTCCTTTCAACCCAGTTTTGATTCGGGGGGCATGGAGCATCGCGCGGATTCTAGCCTGGAGAAGCCTAAGCCCCAAATCCAAACCATGCAGCCCAAAGCCCAACCATACGCCCTAAACCCCTTCAAAACCCTGGCTGTAGCCCAGGAATGGAGGCATTGACACAATTTCGGGCCTTACCAACATGAATCTCGGTCGCATCGTTTTTGTGCGAGTTGAATGGGCGCAGTTGAGGCAAGTAACGTTTACAGGGTTTAGGGACGAGTGACTTGGGTTCAGGGATACGGGCGTAGGGTTCAGCGACCCAGGATTGATTAAATGTAAGAAATTTGGGGGTTTCCCAAAGTTTAGGGACCTTTTTGGGGATGCCTATAATAAGGACTATAATATATTGGGGTCCATAGTCGGGTCCCCTCATTTTTTTGGGAAGATACCATACAAGGGTGTAGGGGTTAACGTTAACATGACAATTAAGAGTGTCTCCGATCTTGTTTTGCGTTTTGTTTTTCAGGGGGGGGTGCAATAATAAACCGCTGGGGCAGTGGTCGTGTCAAGTAGCACAAGTAGTAGTACAAGTATAGCGCCAAGCTCCACAGTTTCAGCTGTGTTTTGCTGAGCCCGTTCTGCAAGCATCTAAACCTGGATACCATTTCGCCTCTAAAAACCTGAATTTTTTTTCCGGTGGAACATATTAGTATTGTCATCCGCTTACTATTGCCGATGGAGCTTTTTTAAGCCCTATCTTCCGGGATTTTCTGACTCGACAAAAAATGTATTATTGTCACCCCTGTATTAATGACATGTCAACATTCGGGATCAGGGGTTGATTGCAGATCGTAGTTAAAAGGTTTAGGGATTAGGATTTAGGGTCTCAGGGGCAGGCAGCTGCAATCTTGTTTCGCCGGATTCTGGCGCTTCCCGTTCCGGATCCTGTGTAGTTTGCTGCAGGTAGTAGGCCTTTCTAAGTTCTTGTGACGGTGGCGATGGCCGTGTCAGTCGCGGTGTCAATGTTGGTGGGGGTGAGTCTGGTGGTGGTGGCGGCAGCGGCGGCGGTGGTAGTTGCGGTGATGGCGGTGGCGGTGGTCGCAGTGGTAGTGGAAGTGGTAGCAGAAGCAGCAGCAGCAGCAGCAGCAGCAGCAGGAGGAGGAGGAGGAGGAGGAGGGGGAAGGAGGGGGAGGAGGAGGAGGCGGAGTAACAGTACTACTTCTGCAGTACTCTCACTATTCTCATTGCTAGTTGCTAGTGCTAATAGTATTACTCAACGTGCGGCGCCTGGGAAGCAATCAGTGGGATTATGTGTGGGATGCCTGTCGTCATGGCCTACATGTCTCTGCTTATAACCCCCCCCTCCAACAATAGACATAGCGCCCGCAGCCCCCTCATTCTTCGACCCTCAAAGTTTTCGCTCCTAGCCCTGGGTCGCTGCATGCAAGCTGCCGAGGAAGTCGTTCCGGATCATCCGCCTGACGCGTCTGCCGCTGGGTCAGTGTGGAAGGCGTTTTCCTATTTGGTTCTCAGCAGGAAATGGATCCGTATAGTAGTCCGTATACAAACCGTTGCGATAGTACCTTGAGCTCCATTCCCTACGAATCGCCCGAAACCCCACACCCTAAACTCTCAACCTTCTCATGTTTCTTATCCTTAAGCACCAGGGGAGTTTTTGGTAGCTGTGGTCTACTTGTAAGGGTTGAGAAAGCACCTCATGTTCAGCAAGGTCCAGCCGAAAGACTCCTAATCCTATAGCCCAACCCCTTGAAATTTCGAACCTCATTGCAAACTCTTTCGCCTAAGCCCCAAGCTCACACCCTCAATCCGAAGCCTTTAGCACTCATCCCCAAGTTCACAGCTCTAAGTCCTAAACCCTAATCCTGACTTAAACCCACAAAACCAGGTTGAAGACGGTGCAGTTTGTGCGCATCTTCCGCTTTGTGATGGCGCTGCGGATGCTTGTGAACCCTGGCTGAGCGCCTTACGTAATTGTGGTCTCATTTAGTAGAAGGATACGGGAATTTGGAAGCATAACAGGAACAGGAATTGTGGTGGTTATGATGGCAGTAGTAGTCCCCCTAGTGAGGCAAGATTGCTAGCAGTTGGTTGCGGCCGGCCGGCTGTTGTGGCTGTGCATAGGTTCAGAAACTTAGGGTTCTCACTTGTGAAGGATGCTTTCAGGATAAGGGATTTGGTAGCTGTTGTTGTTCGGTGCAATCACCTCGATCGCACGTACTATGGGAGAACCCAGAAAGGGAGCCCTAAACCTCAGAAACCCCAATCAAGGACCCTTGATCCTAAGCTCGAAATTTACCAGAGGAAAACCATTTTCGACAGTTGGTTTTAAACGTCCTGCAGGATTCCTCGGTACCCCAAACCTTGAAATCTAAACCCTGATACCTAAACCCCAAACCCCAGACCCCTAAACCCTAAACCTTAAACCCTAAACTCATGGCNNTCGATGGCGCAGGTCGATCCAGGTCGCTTGCCTGCCTTCAGCCAGGTACTGTAGCACCCACGAGAGGCCTGGGGGGGTCTGGGGGGTCTGGGGGGTCCAGGGCCCCCTTGCGAGCGAATTTCACTTCCAGGACCTCCAGAAGTGTCCAGGGGCCACCAGGGCCGGGCTCCAGAAACCCACAAGCCTTTTACAAAAACAGGGGTTTCCGGCTTCCCAGGCACAATGGCAATGGTGCCTCCTGTTCCCTGGGTATTGGAGCTTCCAGGGACCAAAATTCAAAAAACAAAAGCTTACAAGCAAAAATGAAGAGGTGTTGTTGACCAAGATGGAAGGTTTGGGTGGTTTGGCCGCCTCAGACGGCGTGGGGTGGGTGATTGTGTTAGATGGCCTTCTATAGGCAGGCCAGGGCAGCACCTCGCATGCAGCCATGCACTTGAAGGATCATTAACACCTAATCATGACATCCTGCACGGTAACATCGCAGCAAGCCCTAAACCCTAAACCCTAGTATTGTATCTTAGGATCTGCGGGTTTCTTAGTACCCATAGTACCTTTGCGATTTTGGGGGCAGAAGCGCGAAGTCCAAGGTCCCCGGGAAGAAGCCGAACCTTCCTCTCCCCTGATGCTTCGTAGGGAAAGGGCAAAGAAAATGGGAGCGACTCTTGATACCGGAACTTCTGCATGACTTTAGTATACTACAACTGCATAATTCGCGAGTTATAATGTACTTCGGCCATGTCGGATGTTTAGTATCAGCTGTAGTAAAGGGTCTGAGGTTTATAGGGTTTGGGGTGGTTGGTGTGGAATGGGGGGAATGGGATACAGGATAATCAGAACCGTGTCATAACCGGATTATGTAGGGGCTACTGTAGGGACCGTAATTTAGGGTACCATATTGGAGGCTCTACTTTTGAGATGTTTCCAGCTGTCAGGGGCCCTTACAGTAAGCCTGCCAAAGTTGCTGAATCTCCCAACCTTGAGCGCTCAGCCTGAACCCAAGGCCCTAAACCCAAACCCTATACCCTAAACCCTAAACTTGAAACCCTAAACTCTAAATCCTATGCCCTACACCCTAAATCCTGAACCTTAAACTTGACTACTCACCAGGACTTCCATTATCTCCACACTGAAAGCGCTTTTTTGGGCTCTTATTCTGCTCGGCCTCATCGTTTATGCCAGGGCCCCAGAACACGCCGCGTGGGCCGGCTTCAGGGTTTATGGTTTAGGGTAAAATAATATGGTGTTCTGCAAAACTCATGTGAACCATAGTCCTACTTCCTTAAAGGGGGTAAATATAGGGATTATAGAGGGGGTTACTATAAGGGTTACTAATGGGGATACTAGATCCTTGGTTTTTGGATCTCTTATATCGAGCGTAATCTTACTTGGTTCAACCACCACAAAAAATACTCCTTCAGATTCGTACCAGAGGGCCAGGGAGAATGAACTTCAAAAAAAAAGCAGGACCTCAAAGCGATCATTTCTCCCCCGCAACAAGCTTCACAGGGTTTAGGGTTGTGGGTTTGGGGGCGTTCTGTGTTTTAGGGTATTTTGGGTTTCAGGCTTACGGGTTTAGGATTGCGGATTTGGGTTTTAGGGTTCAGGGTTTAGGCAACAGGGCCGGGACAACTTTTTGTCATCCTAAATCGACTTTTGGCTTCACTTCATGCAATTCTTCAGGGTTGCAGTGAAGGAGCTTTTATAAAGTTGCCAAAGTTACGAAAGCCTGTTACCTGCTATGTACCCATAACCTTGATGGCATACCGTCTGGACTGTATCAAACAAAGACTTACTGTTGATGACCTGTTTGTAGTAATTATGATCCTCGGTTGGTCGGCTGGCTTGGATATGTGTGTTAATGTTAGGACTAGTACTAGTATTAGCAGTAGTATACGTATAAGGATGAACAATATGAGTGTGAAGCTCTGCTTGCTGCAAAGAGATGTCCTTCTGAAGGGCTTCTACAGGGTTTA